CATATATATTTACCTTTTAAACCTTCTTTGGACTTCCACCAATCATTTAAGACCAAATTTAGCCAAATCGGTCCAGCCATTCTCGAGTTTTAGCGAGACTAACGAACAGCAATTCATTTTTATATATGTATATAGATTTTTTATTAAAGCTTAGATGGGTGAACGAGCTCACAGCCCACCGGGTGTTAAGTGGTTACTGGAGCCCATAGACATCTACAAAAATGCGCCACCTACCTTGAGATATAAGTTTTAAGGTCTCAGTATAGTTACAACCGCTGCCCCGTCCTTCGAACCGAAACGCATTACCTCTTCACGGCAGAAGATTGCACAAAGTGGGAATGAGTTGCTCGCTCCGGGCATTTCAATATTGTAATAATTGTTATGTTATAATACTCATTATAAAAATAAAAAAAAACTAATATTAAAAAAAAAAAGACATGCCCGCTGACTTTCTTGCCAATTCTTCTCAGGACGGAGGCTAGTTCTTGTGAATTGGCGGTACTTCTTTTGACGTTCAACAAGTATGTACTTTCATTTATGTTGAATAATTTTTTTTTGATTTGATTTGATTTGATTTGATTAGAAATAGGCAGGGTGGTCGTACCTACCCGTGTGGAATAGCAAGTTTGTTATAACATAAACAAAATAACATTTACTTGCCTTATAACATGTGTACTTACACACCTGTTAAACATTTGTTTTGTAAAATGAATCGTTTATGAATTCCGCTTGTAAAACAGTAAACACAATTATTTGAATTATGACTTTAATTAAAAACTCGAACGAATGCTGAATAAATATGTCGTCAAATATCAAAAGCGTATTGTTGTATTGAACGATATAATGAATTTACTTTCAATTTTCACTACGTACTGTAGACAAACATAAAATTGACAGGTCGAAATATACGTAGTTGAGGATTTCGCGATTGTGTAGTTCCGAATGATGATATTTTCATTGATGACGTAATAACCAAATGAAATTTCGACCTCACTTCTCGAGGAGAATGGCGGCTTTCACGTGATGTCTACGGACTACATTGACCAATTCTTATGAGGTGGCCTGTGCGCGTATGCCTATTAGTAATAAATAAAAGCTTGACCTCTTGTCTCAAGACAGGCGACGGCATTGTGTTATAGTGGCTTTGGGCTCCAATAACCGCTAGCTAGTCGTCACTTATCTAGATTAGAATATTTGGCCACCGGTAGGTACATCCATATCTATAGCGTACCTACTATGACATGTCTTTCTTCAAACGAGGCTTGTGGAAAGTACTTAATGGTAAGCAGCGGCTTGGCTCTGCCCCTAGCATTGCTGAAGTCCATTGGCGACGGTAACCACTCACCATCAGGTAGGCCTTATGCTCGTTTGCCCAAACGGGCAAAAAAAAAAATTACGTAAATTGAAACTTCACTCATAACACAGAGATGATGATGAACGCGACTTAAATAAAAAATAAATCATTGATCTATACTTGAGACCTTAGAACTTATAACTCAAGGTGGGTGGCGCATTAGCGTTGTGGATGTCTATGGGCTCCAGTAACCACTTAACACCAGGTGGGCTGTGAGCTATTCCACCCATCTAAGCAATAAAAAATATAAAGATAAAAATTTAAATTAAGATTACTTACATAGGCGAGCCAGCTCCGGCTGATGTAGAGTGGTTAGGTATATCAGAGTGTAGACATCAACATGTGAATGCCACCCATACTCTACATTTGGAATCAGAAAGCAATTCGGTGATACCCATCCGTGATAGCTTATATTACGCACTAACACTAGTAATAAATATCTAAAATACTGTTCTATCATTCAAATTGCTACTCATAGAAATAAGCCTAACACACTGTACCCTTTACTAGAAAGTTTAATGAAAACATTTTTTTTTGATAAGACCCTTTTTTTCATACTCGTGTGTGATTTTAATATTCAACACTATGGGTTCATCATAAAAGTTATTTATAATATGTTAGTCAATTTTGCTCATTGGAACGAAAATAAAGTTAGACAAATAACAACGTTTTTGACAATTCAATAATATTATGTTTTGTAATCTATTCAGTTCGATTGAAATTACATAATTATAAGTGCTTTGATTTCCATTCTCCTTTTTTGCTGCTCGTATAAGTTCATTAAATTCATTACTGTTTTCATTTACATCCTCAGTGGCAAGATTTTAAAACATTTATTTCCTTCCACGAAAAATTGACCAATTATTGTAAGCAGGTTCGCATCTCGCCCGTTTTATCCGCTAAGCAGTTAGTTAGTTAGGCGTCATGGTAATTGCCTTATCGTTGCCGCCGCTAACTACTCCCCGAATCCTGATCACGCAGGAGCCAGTCACCGTAGTCGCCCTAGACACGTCCTTACGGATCCATCAGATCCAATAACCCTTGCATTAGACGTCTTCCGCTCTAACACTAGGAGTAGGGACCCCGGTAACCGGACCCGGTACCGTCGAACTCGGCAAAAAACTCGAGGTGCAACCTAACCTAAACATCAGCCCGTTGAGTTTCTCGCCGGATCTTCTCGGCGGGTAGCGATTCTGATCCGGTAGTAGTTTCATTTGCGAAGCAGCTACCCTTGAGTTGTTAGATCTCCCTTAAAGGCGCGCGGGTAGCTGTTAGCAAATTTGGCCCCATCTGGCTGAGCCCTTGCTCGCCCACCTGTCTGTGAAACTGGAAAGGCCTCCGGCCTAACAGTAAACTCTCAATCACAAAAAAGTTAGTTAGACTGTTAGATGATTCGGCGTGGGACAGTCCTTATGCCATGAAATAGAGACTTTGAATACCGGTCTCTTGTACCCCGGTCTACGGCATTCTGGTTGTGATGTCTATCGGCTCTGGTAATCACTCAACATCAAGTGAGTCGTGATTTTGTCCCACCATAATACAGCAATAAAAAAAATTGTTCGCCACACATCAGAGAAAAGACCACCCATGGCGACACTTATTGATTGAGGTAAACATGTTACAACAGTATGTGGCGCGCCGATTCTGTTGCCAATACTTAGCAATTGTTCACGATTGACTTCCAAGGTGAAGGAAGAACATCGTGTAATAAAAAGCAAAATTATAGTTTGCCTACTTACTGGTGCTAACTAGGTCCTTCTGTGAGTCCCCACGGGTAGGTACCACCGCCTCGCCTATTTCTGCCGTGAAGCAGTAATGCGTTTCAGTTTGAAGGGTGTGGCAGCCGTTGTAATTATACTGAGACCTTAGGACTCATATCTCAAGGTGAGTGGCGGCATTTACGCTGTAGATGTCTATGGGCTTCAGTAACCACTTAACACCAGGTCGACTGTGAGCTCGTGCACCCATTTAAGCAATAATAAAAAAAATATGTATTAATAGCAAGTATTTAATATGTATCTGAAATGATTTTCGGCGTCTTTAAACTTTCAATTTGGCTGATTAATTAGCTTCTGTGCTGGTTTCTGTACTCAAAGACGAAATCGCTTCTTGGAAATCATGAATGTAACAGACGCACGAATACGTCAATTTTACAGGTTCCACTGAAACGTAAAAAAACTGCTTTGATAAAATTAATTATAGCGGAAATTTGATTGGAAAGCTATTCGCCAAGGCTAATATTTTCGGGAAACTTAAAGTTAAGCTTTATGTTTAAAGAGCTCCGACGTGTTACGAGGATTAATAAATAACTAGATGAGGGATTTTTTTTTGATAACGCCATCTTGTTGTGTCTTTAAAGCGGTTAGTTGCCCTCAATTAAGAAAAATAGTATTATTATTCGCCAATAGATGTCGGGAAGAGTTGATTATTGAAAACACGAATAAAACAACATTTTCTGAAAATAAATCGTAGCTAGATCGAATTAACCCCCCCTCGAAATCCCCTGTATACTAAATTTTGTGAAAATCGTTGGAGCCGTTTTCGAGATTCAGAATATATATACAACATGTAACATAATTAACGCACACCCTGAAAGTAATTTGTTCAGAATCGGAATCTGGATCGATTTTGATTGTTTTTTATGTACCAAATTTTTTTCTAAAATTTAGTTAAACCTAAGTAAATTACAGTCACCCTACACAGCTAGCTAAACAGTTCATAGAAACGAAAATGGAACGTAAGTCAGGGTATTAAGACTTTTTAAANCTATACTCAACACTAATGTCATAATCTTCTTTCAAAACTCACCATCGCGCCATGCGTGGTATAATGCCGCGTTTGGTAAGCGTAGCACAAACCACAGTACAATCAGTTTCTACTATATCATGCTTACCTACTTCATAAACACGGAACCTACGTAGCGATTGTACGACCGCCAGGTTATGAGCTCTTAACTATGATACACACTCTTCCTTCCTAGTAACCCGGCTAAAATACATAACAGGCCGCAGTGAGTTGTCAGTTTGTTTTTGTAATAGTATACCAGAAATTCTTAAGTTACACGCATCGGTTTGTATTTCTGTAAGAAGCATAGGATTATACAGAGCTAGCATAGGTTTGGAAACTGTTTTTCAGTTGTTCGAAATTCGAGTTATGTTCACGGCCTCACACCCATGATTAATCTTTTTTTTTTCTCAGTTAATGGACGCGCAATCACGGCAAAACTGGAAATAAACTTTCTAAAGTGACACATTATCGCACACTATGAGCATTATTTGGCACAGGAAACTGCGAAAGGGCCGTCAATTTTTGTTGCACCCGGCTGTATACCGTCTGAAGATATTTCATGACCTAAATAAGTGACTTGTTTCTCCAAGAACGAGCATTTACTCATATTTAATTTTAAGTCTCCACCATAAAATTTCCCAAGTACTTTCTCAATAATTATTGAACCTGATTTTATACCAACTGCGGGTAGAGGTAAATCGTTTAAAATTTCTAGTATCTCGATTTGACCTACATTTATTTTTACCCATTTCTTTTCTACCCATAGACTCGATTATTTTATAATATAGATGGCGAATCTGCTAAACCAAAAGGAATTCTAGTGTACTCGAAATAATGCTCTTGCGGTGTAATGAAAGCAGTTTTGTGTGTCTGGCACAATGCTTAATTGATGGTAGCCCTGGGCTAAATCTAAACTCGTGAAGTACTGTTCGGTGGATACTTTTATATTTTACCTTAACCTTTAACGCACGATAATTAACGCATAGCCTACTGTCGCCGTTCTTTTTCTCAATAAGACCACTGGTGAAGCATGACTCGATTCAGATTATTTTATAATGCCGGCATCTAAAAGTTGATTAGCTTTAGATTTAACTATCGTTTGTTCATTATGAGAAAATTAAAGGTGGCGATACACGGGCTGATCACTAGTAAGCTTAATTTGCATTTGGACTAAATTGGCAATACCTAAATCATGTGTGTTCGTATATAGCAAAGCAATGCTTATACTGTATTTTTTAAATCTGAATGACCCTATTATTTAATGGCTCCTTTTAATTTTTTTTTATTTCTACCCTCAAATGTCGAATTATTTGTAATGGCATGGCTAGGGCAAGTAGAAATGCAACACACCTGGCTGTTTGGCTGTGGCTCCTCGCAGCTGTTGGCCCTCGGCAGGACCTCGCCCGGCGGCCACATGATGGTCTCCGAGCCCATGTTGATGACTTTGATGTAGCTGTCTTCGCCACGCAGCAGCGTCGCAGGCAGGGAGAAGGACACGCCGTGAAGATCTTAGTGCTGCAGTGCAGTAACCACGCTGCTGTTCTTCTAGTTTCCCTCCACGTGAACCAGAATGATGGAAGGACAGGGCGGCAGGCGTTCTTGGTCCGACGACGTCGAAGTCCCTTTGATTTGATTGTTCCAAATTCTTCATCCTGTAGCTCAGGTATCGCCTTGTGGACCTCCTTCTGAAGCAATTTTTCAACACCTTCCTCGCCAGTGGAATAGGAGCTTCATCTTCTTCAAACTTGTCAGAAGACCGAGAGGTCTGAGCGTGTATATGACGTTGTTTCATTTCTTTATGCCACTTCTGATTGTTGCAAATGATGTGACAATAAAAACCAACAGCGTAACGACAAGTTCTTTTATTTGTGCGAGAATGCAGAAAGCAGGTAGAAATGGCTGGCACGGCTTGTTTTATTAACACTATCCCCCCTTCGTTGGCTTTGGCTGGCGGCGGTGGCGGTGGCTGTGGCGGAAGGGGGCGTGTTAATATGGCTTGGCGGCTTGGCTGGCGGCAGGGCNACGACAAGTTCTTTTATTTGTGCGAGAATGCAGAAAGCAGGTAGAAATGGCTGGCACGGCTTGTTTTATTAACACTATCCCCCCTTCGTTGGCTTTGGCTGGCGGCGGTGGCGGTGGCTGTGGCGGAAGGGGGCGTGTTAATATGGCTTGGCGGCTTGGCTGGCGGCAGGGCATGACAGCTGACGTCACGTCCGTTACACTACTTAGGACGTTTATAATCGAGCGAAAGAATTTATGAAACATACATCTTCAGGTGATATTGTTAACAGTGTAAATTCATAAAGATTGACTGACTTCCGTAATGGGGAAATTAAAAATTAAACCCTATTTATTTAATATTTTAAAATCCATAGCATTCACGTTGTGAAATCATCGCTTAATAAAATTTATAAAAATTTAATTAGGTATTTTTGTTTAATTTCACGCGGACGGACGACAAACCGACGTCGTGAGCTTTATGGATACATTTACGATTATTAACACGTTGACTGCCACGGTTGTCATTGGGAAACACGAATCCGAAGATGCTGAGAATTAATCTATTGCTAAGAAACCTAAAAGATTAAAATATACATTAACAAACAACAGAAGGTAAAGTTAGGCAACCAAGGCGGACCTAAAATCCTTGGGCCCGCGGTCTGCTCACAACACCATGCAGATCGTTGAGTCTCACATACCCCGCGCGCCCCTTTTGCGCGGGGACCTCGTAGGAGGTTCGGCCCTCTACCCGAAAAAAAAAAGGCGCCTTAGTAACAGTAAACGATATAATTACTTCAGTGCGCCGCGTAGGTCACCGGTGACCTACATAGCAGTCAAGGTATTGTTAATCTACGAAATTATAATGAATGCAAGCAATTTAATTATTGTATATATATATATATATATATATTTTATTGCTTAGATGGGTGGACGAGCTCACAGCCCACCTGGTGTTAAGTGGTTACTGGAGCTCATAGACATCTACGACGTAAATGCGCCACCCATCTTGAAATATAAGTTCTAAAGTCTCAAGTATAGTTACAACGGCTGCCCTACCCTTCAAACCGAAACGCATTACTGCTTCACGGCAGAAATAGGCAGGGTGGTGGTACCTACCTGCAATACCGTCTTTACCATAAGGGCACACGGGGCCCGTGCCCAGGACCCCCATTCTCAGGGGGCCCCGAAGGTCCGACAATTTCTCTCACACATTTATTCTCAAAACGTTTTTGTCGGGCACATTACACTTTTGTCACAAATCCCTAATTTTATCAGAAGGTATTTACAAGGTATATACTACGCCATTATATCGATGACTGCGCCTATTCCTACTGTACTAATTAATAATATTTCCGAACGCATCCTACCTAATTTACTAAGTACATCATCTAGCGATCACGATAACGGTTTCCGTTATTGTAATCGTAACCAAAAAAAACAGCAGCATTCTAATATCATTAATGACACATTAAATCATACTGTATTTGATTACCTATAATAAATGGTAATACTCAGTAAAAAATATATTATAATTCACTTTTTTACTTTCCAAAAGGGTCCCAAATTCTTGTGTGCCCAAGGGCCCCAGCCTAATTTAAGACGTCCCTGCCTACCAGCGCGGAGTCACAAGAGGTCCTACCACCAGTAAAATAATAATAATTATATAATAATAATTGATTATTATTTAATTATTAATTATTATTATTTAATTATTATTATTATTGATTATTATAACTTTATGTATGGAGTTCGTAAATACGGACACCCATTAAGAGAAACAAGATCCAAATATCAAATTCATAGTATATCAGCTTTCCCACTCTTCAAACTGGAACGCATTATTGGGATTCATCAAGTTGTCTATTATAAACTCTAACTAATTCTGCCTTTAAAAAAATAAGTTACCCTATTCGAGAACAGTTTCAATAGAGCATAACGTGTCCATCGTAATGCTTGGGAATGGATGAATAATACAAACAAACAAAAATCCATAATTTATTACGTATATTTCAATATTAAAATTTGATTTATACAAAAAAATACACAAAGAACAAGTGTATATTTGATTAGAATTGATCACAAGGCTCCGAATATAATATGTACATAAACTGAAATAATTTTATGCCTAAATTGTAATTCCCGTGCAAACAATATGTTTTACACGAGAAAAAAAAGAAAAAAAAAGGAAAAAAACGCCTCTCTCACCGTCACCAAATCACTTTTCTTTCTTCCCAAAAAGAAACTATATAAATTGGTGATGTTTCATTAATATTAATAGTTTTTAATTACAAATCAAATTACTAGTTCTATATTTTCCAAAAAAACAAAAAAAAGTTGTAAATATTATGAGAACAATTTTAAACGGTCACTGGTTTAGTGCACGTGTACTTAAGCGCATTATTACACGACTAAATGAAAATAGTCATTTATTAGTTACAGAGATTCAACATTATTATTACATTACTCTGGGGCGTACGGTAATAATTGCGTCCCTCTATTACTTTTATTACTGGTAATAGCTGATAATGTCAGTCAGTTACTTTGTTCATATTGGCATTTGGCGTTTGGGTTAACTTGTACATAAACAAAGTCTTTAGTATGCCGTCGCAGCTATGCCGATGTGCAGGTTTGGAAACAGCGATCAATTAGTTCAAGTAAATGAGTATTAGAGTCACGAATGACTTTTATGATAGATGCATTAGCGAAGCAGCTGCCTTTGACCTGTTAGGTCTTCTTCGGAAGCTCTCGGGCGGCCGTTAGCAAATCCCACCCCTCCTGGCTGAGCCTTTGCTCGCCCACCTGCCCTGGTGAAACTAGAAAGGCTTTTGGGCCACCAGCTATCCTTCCTTCATAAAAAAAACTTCTAGGTTGAAGGAGTAACGTCGTGTGATTACCTTTAGCGTCGCTTGTTGAGGTCAGCAATGTCAGAGACACAGCCAAGCTTCGACCAGCGTAATGTAATAAAAATTTAAAATATTTGAATATAATAAAAATAAAAACGTCAACATAAATTAAATATAATTAGTAAAAACTCTTTTAATATGTATAGTAAAATCACAATAGTTTTTAAGTTTATCAAAGACTACCCATTCGATTCGTTTATGTGCTAAAAATATATATATATATATATCTATATTTATCACACACGTTTGATTGTTGATATGCGAGAAAGGGACGAATTATATTGGCTTATATTAATCATATTGTATTAACTTATGGCTGGATCACACACGGGAGTTTCTCGGACACCGGGAAAGAAAATGTAAGCATTATTTTTTTACTTTCTAATAAATACTGTTAAATAATCGTATCCGAAATATCACTCCGTGTGTTTACAGTTATCAGTCCATAGTTTCCTAAAAATTATTTATGAATAAAAAACTAGTTTATTTTAGTTTAATAATATATTATCAAACATTAACGCATGCAAAAGCATACATTAAATATACAAAACGGGATGTTTCAACTAATTTAAGCATCAATGGAAAACAATATTAGTTCAGTATATAATTGAAACAGCAATCGAATGCAAAGTTAGCCCGAAGAGGGCACAGGGCGTTGACCTCGAAATTCGACTTAAAGAAATAAAATTGAATCACCTTACACGTACATAATTAAATATAGCTGCCATTGTTACAAATAATCACAAATGTATATTACATTAAGCTGCCACAGAATTAGTGGGGTTGTTGACCTCTTAGAATCACATGTGTACATTGCGGGCTAGTTACAAAACCGATATTTACATTGGATTGGTAAATCATTGTTCTCCGTATGCTAAGTGACAATCTATCCGCTGTATAATAATATACAAATTTGACATTATTATGTATTTCTTAACCGTAAAAGAACAAAATACGGATCTATATTTATTGGTCTATTGCAAAAATCGCTTTTATAGAAACCGTATTGTGTTTTTCTCAAGTCTCTGATTCATCTGAATGAAATAGTGCACTTCTGTAGCTGACTGTACCGAATGGAATAGTGCACTTCTGTAGCCGACTGTACCTAATGTTACAACAGGGGTCGATGTTACCTTAGACCTACGGCGTTTTTCGTCGTTTTCAGGGTCGATCTGATTTTCTTAACTAAACCTGACGGTTGTATTGTCACTGTCAATTCGGTATTATGATAGCTTAGCCTGTTCATTTCCTCTTCACCTCCCTGAAAGGAAAAAAAAGGTTTTTATTTATTTATTTATCTATTTATTTATTTAGTTAGTAAGTAAAAGTTTGTTAAAAAAGCTAAAGTCAACAATGATCTCGCCGATTTGTTTACTAACTTTAATCAAGTTGATCTGTCGACTGTTGACGTGCGTGACCGCCCACCGCCCCTCCAACGGTAAGCCGGCCCGTGACGCCGGCGACGAAGGTTCGACACTCGTTACGTTGCATTCAGTATCCAGTTTTATTCCTGAAAAAGTATTTACCGCGTTAAGTGGTTACTGGAGCCCGTAGATCCATCGGCTCCAGTAACCACTTAACACCACGTTCGTCCACCCATCTAAGCAATAAAAAAATAAAAAGTATGAAATTTCCCACACTTATAGAGAATATAGAGAAAGAGAGCAGAATGCTATATATATTTTTTAAATTATGCATAATAAAAACATTAAATCAATAGAAAAAACGCTACACACACTACCATGTATTTGACACACACACGCATATATACTCTTTTTTTTATTGTTTAAAGTCTGTGGTCCAATTGAGAATAAAATAATATTGTTTTTCTTTAATATTATTTGTCTATGGCCTTCAAGAAGTCTGTGATTATAGAAGTGAAGCCTTTGACAATACGAACCATAATAATGTTCAAACTTATAATTTCAATTAATAATCGAAGACATGAGTGGATGAAGGGGTTAAGTAACATTTTTAAGAATTTTGATTTTATACATTGAATGAAGGTGTTATGTGACTATAAACCATATTAGACCTTAAATCTCCAGGCTTAAAGGTTATTTTTAGAAATTGCATGTAATTAAGGAGTTGTGTACGAAGAAACAGTACAAGTAACAAAAGTTTGTTTGCCGGTTTTCTCAAAATTAACAAATTGTAACATATCCCCTTCATCCATTTCGATAGGCAACAGCTTGTTTATGCCCCTGGCATTGCTGAAGTCCATGGGCGACGGTAACCACTCACCATCAGTTGGGCCGTATGCTCGTCTGCCTACAAGGGCAATAAAAAAAAACCACTCGTGTCTTCAATTATGATCGAACTTCGACTACTGGGCGACCACTAGTTATATTAGTTGCACAAACTCACCAATAAACTCCTTATCTCTCTTTACAATCTTGTATATCTTCGCTAGCGGCGTCCTGTGAAAGAGAACGTTGATCTGAAAATATAAAAAAAAAACATTTTTGTAATTGTTTGAGATGATCCCTCAATCTCCTACTGATTTTTTTTTTATTGCTTAGATGGGTGTACGAGCTCACAGCCCACCTGGTGTTAAGTGGTTACTGTAGTCCATTGACATCCACAACGTAAATGCGCCACCCACCTTGAGATATAAATTCTAAGGTCTCAAGTATAGTTACAACGGCTACCCCATCGTTCAAACCGAAGCGCATTACTGCTTCACGGCAGAAATTGGCAGGGTGGTGGTACTTACCCGCGCGGAATCAAAACTGACTGACTAACTGCTGCCTTCGTCCATAGTACGATTCTAGAGATCTTATCTGGTACGCTTCGGAAGGAACTGCGGAATGGAGTGCGCTCTGCTGTAGGAAGGTTTGGCTCTGCCCCTGACATTGTTGATGTCCATGAGCGATACTAACAACATCACGAGGACTCAAAAAAAAAAACTTAAAACCAAAATAATACTGAACGAAGCAACTAGACAACTCCGCCAACGACCATCCTATGGTGAAGAATTGTAAATTGTTACGCCGGTTAAGAGTAACGCCATCTATCGCAGAATAGCAGAAACGAATATCAAAGGATCTAGTAACATCTAGAGCGTTCAAGAAGTACAACGCCATCTATTGTCAGATAGCGGAAACACACATCGAAAATACTCGACTTGTGAGGAATGTTCTCGCTAATTCTAGGGATGTCGTATCGACTATAAAAACGTTGCAGAGATGGCACGCAGTCAGTCAGTAATCGGAACTACTCGAAGCGAAAAAGCAAACGGATCACACGAAGCGAAACGGAAGAAGTGAATTAAGAATTTTAAAGTGTTCTGTGAGTGTTCTAAGTGCTAATACAGTTTTAATTTGTACTTTGGTGGAACTTTTTATTTATTCCGAACCCCAGCGCGTAACAATATTAAATACATTTCACTTACATGCCTCGGCGCGGCGTGAGCTAGAAGCCGTACAGCATGATGGGCATCCGAGGGTGAAACCCTGCCCACAGACACCAGCTTGTCCCCACATCGACCCACGCCAGGCGAAGGACCACCCCATCTGCATATCCTGAAAAAGAATTTTATATATTTTTTCAACGGTCTAAGAACATTTCCGATGAAAAATAAGAAGAAAAAAACAAGAATAAATGTTCTATGTCTGTGTCGAGAACTTTCCCGGGACTGTTAAAACAGTTTCAATACAACGGGAATTCTGAGGAAATGTTCTAAAGCATTCAAGAGATGTTGGGAGTTATTTCGACATCGGTTTTTTTCCATTTGACGACAGATGGCGGTACGAACAACGCCATCTGTCGTCAAATAACTACACTACACAAGCGCAACGTGTGAATGTGTTGAACGCGAGCTACATGGTAGGCGGAGTGGGGTGTTAGGTTTTATTTTCGTTACGGAATTCCTTGATTCGGTCGCCGCGCTCAAAGCCCGCGATAAAAGCTATGCAACAGCTTAATAAATAACTTGTTGGCAACATCTGTCCCGATAAAATAAAATTTAGCAGCCTTCCTCTAATTCAGTCGTCTCCTTAATGAACGGTTCTGACTTACCACACGTGTCCGCTGTAATCAGCAAAAACTGGTCCGTCTCGTACAGAGAGCGGGGCTCCTATTAGTGTACCGGGTCGGGGTTCAGCAGAGTTGACGGTTTCTGTAATAATACAATATTAAATGTACGGCGGCCGGCGCAACATCACTATTCAAACTAACAGTAGTTAAAGTTAACTGTTTCCTTAATGTTAAGCATGTCAACAACTGTTTAAGACAGTATTCAAGAGAATTCATGACTAAGCTACCCACACTTTCTACTATAGATACGAGTGACTATTGTCGCACAAAACATTCCGACCCGAGTAGCCGACCGAGGCGGAGCTTTTTGTTTTTATCGTTGTACATTCGAGATACAATAAATGAAATTCATTGGAAAAGTGAGTCTTAATTACTGTCACTATGGAAGGCAATCATAATGATGAAAGGAATGACGTCAGCAACGCTGATGTCATCATTAGATAGCATCCATACATTATTAACTACTGGTTGAATTTTTATAAAATTTATATGGCACCAAGAAACACTAGCTTTCAAGTAAAAAATAATCATTAAAATCGGTCGAAGCCGAATTGAGAAACTTCCTACTTCTTTTGAAGTTGTAGATTGAAAAATTATCATCTTAATTGAACAAAATTTGAAATCATCTATTGCAGTATGAATCAATGATTCCAACTTTTTAAGCAATTGTTGGTAACAAGTTTTTTTAAACATAAATTCACTTTAATTCTTTTGTATTAGTGATGCTTAAAAAGGAATTGTTTTATATGCAGTTTTTTTTTCCTACCTATGCTGATAGCCTTGAGAGCCTATTTCAGCTTTACCCTAGCGTGTAGGTGAGCTCACGGGGCTCAAACCGGAGGCGTTACTAACAGTGACTCTAGAAAGAGCAGTGCTTCGCAGAATCTACCACTGGATCGGAAACGCGACCCACTGAGAAGATCCGGCGAGAAACTCAGTGGGCTAATGCAGGAAGAAACACTCACCGTTGCTTAATGAATTGCTTCTTCTCCTCACACCTTCCCTGGCTTCCGGTCTCGAACGACGTACAACTTTGACAGGAGACGTCAATGGATTCCTATCAAATTTGACGTTTAATGTTTAAAGAGCTAAATAGAACTTCTTCGATACCGTAAAATGGGGCGTTTAGGGACAAATTCCAACTTTATGAGCAATTTTAAGGTAGTTGTTGACGTATATATTGCTATATCAGGATCAAAATGATTGAGTCTTGGGGGCATCTTTGTTGTCTAATTTAAAATTATGCAACTAGCATTCCAGTTTAAGCAAAAAATGCAAAAATAGGTGCAATCCCTATTTACCCGAAAATTGCGGTTAATTGGGACGAAATGAGAAATTTGCTAGGGCTGGCACTACTTTTATTTTTATATATAGTTTTAATTTATTTATTTATTTAGTTGCACCAAGAAAGTGATCACCAATAAAAAAAATTTAAAAACTGATAAAGGTTTTTTTTTTTTTTTTTTTTTTATGTTTGAAGGATTACTGGTGGCCCGGAGGCCTTTCCAGTTTCACCAGGACAGGTGGGCGAGCAAAGGCTCAGCCAGGAGGGGTGGGATTTGCTAACAGCTGCCCGAGCGCCTCCGAAGGAGACCTAACAACTCAAGAGTAGCTGCTTCGCGAATGAATCTACTACCGGATCGGAAT